AATGCAATAAAACATTCTGAAATGTCAATGGAAGGATGTGTCCTCCAGCGAGACAAACACGGACACGACAATTAGATTCCACAAGAAATGTTAAATCCCACGGAATTGAAGCGACATGAAGAGAATGATGACAACAAGTGGCCCAATTTAAACAGTGGATCAAAAATAAATGTAATGAAGCTAATGAAACACGGCTCAATGAGCAATGAAAGGAAACTGGACACACTGAGAACAACAGCGCTAATAACATTTAAAAAAAAATCTTTTTCATGCGTGCACTGAGACGACATTGTCAGTGGTGATTTTCCTATCTTCTGTGGCAATAAGTATTTCTTAGTCTTAGTTGAGGTTCAGCTTCTATGCAATCAGGTCATCCCATACTTGCTCCTTCTTGTGCCAGTAAAAATCAAATGAAATATCCCTCATTGTCATATTAAAAAAAAATAGTGAACAATCAATTCGTCCAGGTACAATCCAGAATTATGCGCACTAAATGCTTAAGACAGTTGCTAGAGGCGCCAAAGCCAACAGTCGCCATCAGAAATTAAGTAGGTCGTTCATGGAAGTAGTCGGTCACGGTGTTGGCTATATACATGTAAAATTATTATATAAAGCATTTCACCAGCTCACATGTAAAACAGCTAACTTCCATATTGAATACCACGACAAATGAATGGCATTCCGCATGAAAAACACAGCTCACAATGCTGCACCAAGCTCTTAAGTCAGTAGCTTAGGCAGCGAAACAGTTGACTTCTGTCCATGTCTGAAAACTGCATCAGAGAAACGTGGTCAGAAGCAAAAATGACTTCTAAGCTAATCATTACGCTATGACTAAGCCTCCATACTGAGCCGTATGTGGCACATGGTATCTGAATGACGTTGCTACATCTCTGACTTTTCAGACGACAGCGTGTCGTGAAGTGAGCAGCCAACCCTACACGATGAACGAGACTTGACTCTGACTTCCCTAGCGAGCAGTCAAATTTCAAACTTAAACCCGCCCAGAAGGGTATATAGTCCCTTACATTAATATACCTTTATCTGGTAATATATTCATTTCTAGACCCTCTTGTTGCTTTGATAAATCTTCATTTTCAAACTTGTAACTGTAGGTTGACGATTTCTGGTATTTAATTCAGAAATTCATGTAAGCCGGTTTACTCCTTAGGCATGAATACAGGGAACTTCTTTCCTAGTGACGCTAAACGTAGTTTGAAGCGGGCATTTTCTGCCTGACTGCCTAGAAGAACAGATGTTCTCAAATGTGCCTCGTACATCTATGCTTTGAGGAGGCGGCCTTTGGTGTCTAGGACATTTCCTAAGCTTGGGTAAGTTGATTATAGTTTACGAGTACCATAAAATATGTCTTTTTGAAGTTGGCCACTGCTGCATAGAGGAAAGTTTCAGCTGTGTGATCGCACAGAGTTGGTCCGTTCTTGATGTCCAGAGATCAGGCTCCGAACATTAAACCTTTCCCTGTGCAGACTAAATAGTTTGTGCTCTACACAACCCACACCATTTGTAAAGATATTAAACCCTACAAGTAATTATTCTATAACCAAACGTAGGATTTGTATCGACTAATAGACACATGTAAACTGGGTCATCTTTGGCCGGCTTGATACTGTGACAAAAGCAAGCTCGGCCCTCTAAGTCAAAGGTTATTTTTAGCACAACAAAGTGCGTACGGTGAACAGACGGGGGATGGTATAAAATATATATATATGAGAGAGAGATGGAATGTATATCTACAAGTGCGTGTGGGCGAGGAGAGTGGATGTTCTCTGTTTGATAGTCTGTCTCCACTCTGGCACTCATCTCCTGTCACTATTACTGACTGAACAATAGAGATGATATGTAGAGACTTATACTGTCTCATTATCCTCAGAGCTGTCCTCTGAATGATTACTAATGTGGATGTTAATAAACTGAGCTTGACATGTAACCCCTGAGATGACTGCTAATTCTGAGTTCCTTCTTGATACAGGATGATATCTCCTTGAAAGCCAGGCAGTGAATCAGCAGTCCACCAAACCACCTACAAGGAAGTCACCTATGTCTAAGCCAGTGGTGGGCATCAGATTGTAAAACTAACTGTGGTCATCAATTAATGAAATCTTCCAGTTGGTCTACAGACAACATTATGGGTGTTGTACCTCCATCATAATTTATCCGGCAGTTTGTTTGTGTCGGAAGTGTTTGACTTGGTACCTGAGATCCTCTCCAGGAGCTTGGGTGTATCTCCAGTGTTCGAGTGTCTAGTGTGGGACTGTCTTGAACATAACAACAGAGTGACTGAACATCCAGCCAGTTAAAGAAACCAGGGATTCAGATATGTGTGGGCAATCATGGGTTTATTGCCAGGCTTCACTATTAAATGTCCATACTCATCATAAGGATGATCTAGGCAGACTCTGGAACATTTATACACGTTCAGTCAGATTGAGTTTGAAGTTTTGGTCCTTCATATCACTCTGGGTTCTTGAAGTTCTTTGCTGATTCTTATATAATGTATGTGTTACATTTATTACAGTATTTCTAAAGTTTCATTATTGACTGGAGTGTCACTCATGCTTTGTTCTTAGCTGTCTAAAATCCATGTATGTTCAAGTAATAATTTTCATCTGTGTTAACATGGTATACTATCATAATCTTGGGCTACCTTTTTATAGTAGTGGGGGTGTCCAGCCAAGTGTGCCTAGGAATATTATATATTTTGTAGTGCCAAAGCTTGAGTAGCCCTACTCCTGAAATAAGTTGAGCGTATATAGGTCACGGGATATCCCTTAGACCAATACGAGCCAACGACTCAACATAATTATTTCAGAGTGCTGTTGGTTCTTAAGGAGAAATCCTTAAATCAGGCACGTGACAGGAGCGATATGTGACACAGCGTTACATTGTGTTATAGAGAGGCATGGGAACTACAGCCATTTTGGGGTAGGGATGGAGTTCTCCCCTTTCATCGCACGAAGTCTAGGCATTATTAAACAGGGTATAAAGACGAGGTGTTGCATGATCCGTCTCTCAGACTGCCTTGTTTACTATAAGGGGAAAGTACGATGCTGCTTATTTTCCTTCTTAGGACGTAATTTTTTGTTATTTGAAGCCCCACTCTGGCTTTTGCCAGGGGCCGCAATATAGGCAGGCAATTGTCTTAACGCGGTTTCACGGTCCTCTCCACGGTGATACTCATCCGCATGGTGGCACTTTGTGTCATCGGGTGTTTATCGCTTGTGTGATGTCCTAGTGGGGTAGAAAGTCAGTCAGTCAGACCCCCATACTTTAACTGTGATGTTACCAAGTATCCACTTTCGTCCTTTTCAGGACGAAATTTTTTGTTATTTGAAGCCCCATCCTGGCTTTTGCCAGGGGCCGCAATATAGGCAGGCCATAAATATGGCCAATTGCCTGAACGCGGTTTCTGGGACCTCTCCACGGCGATTCTCATCCATATGGTGGCACTTTGTGTCATCGGGTGTTTATCGCTTGTGTGATGTCCTGGTGGGGTAGAAAGTCAGTCAGTCAGACCTGCATACTTTATCTAATCGAGCCATATCCTTGTGAGATGCAATTTTTTTTAATTTGAAGCCCTACTCTGGCTCTTGCCAGGGGTCGCAATATAACCCGGCCATAAATATGGTCTAATGGCTGAACACGGTTTCTGGGACCTCTCTACGGTGATCCTCATTTACATGGTGGCACTTTGTATCATCGGGTGTTTATCGCTTGTGTGATGTCCTGGTGGGGTAAAATTCTACCACTACTATCTTCATACGATATCTTTGTGGTGGCAATCTGTGAGTTTCTAGAGACTTGCTGAGAACACTACAAGGAAGCAACGACGCGCTTCGATATTAAATATTGCAGAAACCCCTACGGGCTGGTGAGTCTATGGTCCGCGGTGAAAAATTTACTGGGCCGCGAGGCTGGCGTAATGTTACTATATAATCTGGTCCTTGTACACACACAACAGCAGAAAAAATAAGCAGTTTCAACGGGAACATTTAGGAATATATAGAAGGGCTTCAGTGGGCGAGTGTGTCTGACCTGAGGGGTAGCAAGAGATTATAATCTTAGATCCCCCCACCCCCCTAAAAAACGTATTTTTGAAATCTGGATATAATGATTAAAATGGATTTTGTTCCTATGTTGTCCTCGACTGGGTTTGGTAATTTTACCCATACACACACCCACACGCACACACACACACACACGCGCGCACACACACACACACATATATATATATTTTTATATATATATATCTCAGATTGCCCGCCCCTGAACTACAGTGTCATTTACCGAAAACAGAAAAGGCAATAGGGATTTTAGGGCCTTTGGAAAGAAGGGTGCTTTAGAAAGTGTTCGGATGGGGAAACATACTAGGCAAGAGAACGAAATGAAAACACGTGGACTTTACGAAAACATAGAAAAATAAACCATTTGAGAAATGGTCAGAGTAGATCTCTATACAACAAAAAGATAGAGACAAACACTGTTCTTTGGTCACATAATGAGAAGAGAGACATTGGAGAATATCGTGACAACTTAAAAGATCAGTGGAAAAAAGGGGCAGAGGCAGACCAAGAGAGATGAAGCTGGATGGGCTGAAACGATGGCATCGAGAGCTGTTCCAGGCAACATGGGATCGTGATCTGTGAAGACTCATGAGCGCCTACACCAGTTGGCAGTTTAGATGATGATGATGATGATGATGAGAAACCAACGGTGATTCAAATTTAACACATCGATTGAGAATTTGTCACCTATATATGTAGTACATGAGGGGAGAGGGAAGAAGGAGAAAGAAGAAGAAAAATACAGAAATAAAGAAGGAAAAAAAGAAAGAAAAAAGAAAGAAAGAAAAACAAAGAAAGAAGTAATAGTAGAAGAAGGAGGGAGGAGAAGGAGGGTAGGATAAAAAATATTATATATATTGTAACACTTAAACTACATGGAAATGATAGAAGGTGTCAGTCAGTGGCGGCCATACATACCTTTGAAATGCTGCTATTCCTTTTCCTTGAGATCATAATCCGCTCTTCGATTTCATCTGCCGCTTCCAACCACTGGAACAGAAAACCGCCCATGATAGCATAGGCGACAACCATGGAACACAACCCCACATGGGAAAAGAGAAATGCTAGGAATTTCTTGCAACATTTAGAACAGGCACCCCCTTTCTTTGCCTGACTGTCACTTTGGTCTGTTTGCCGACAACAGCAGCAACATAAAGGAGCACAGCAACATTTGGAAGAGCTTTGCTGACTCGCTATAATGGCTTCTATATGTCGAGCGTCATTGTCAACATTACGATCAGGGCTGCCTCCACAACATGATCGTCTCTTTTTCTTTCTCTGCTTCGGTAAGCGTTGTGTATTTTGTTGCACGGTGCGTTTCTGCTGCTGTTGGTCTGGTCTTGGTTGCTGCTTCCGTAGTTCATCCTTGTTCCCCTTTAAAGTTTGACCGCGCGACACCTCTAAATGTAGCTGTGATTTCTGTGTGGATAATAACTTTTGCCGAGCTTCGGAAGTTTTCCTCGACAAATCTGAATAAGCTGGCGGTTTTCCCTGTTTTTGTGCCGCTTTTGGAGGGACTTTTTTTGTAGCCGCTTGGGCAGGCTGCTTTGGCGCAGCCTGTGAATCTGTCTGAGCGATTCGGATTGAAACGATTTGCTCCGAAAGGATTTTGTCCTCTTGTGATACAACAGAAGGTTCCAGCAGCTGCTGATCATTGTCGACATCTGTTGAGTCGACTGTAGCGTCCGGTAGTTCCATCCTCTGCTGCTTGCCAGGTTTTTCTCTCTACTTGTATGCACTGCACAGAGTTCTTTAATGGCAAAATTTGAAAAGATATATGGCATAATTAATAACAGGCATCATTTCCCAGGCGAGGAATGCTATTTAATGTTTCTTTTCCAGTATTTTAAGTACACCAATAACAAATTTCGTTACGTTTCTCTTCAGCTCAAAAAGGTAAATGCCTATCTATATAGTATTTATACCGCTCTGCTTCTCTATGAATAGAACTATGGCTAAAACTACAACTTTGCTGTTGTCCAAATGTTCTGAAAAATCGCTAACAATTTCATAACTGTCTTACGTGTAAATACAGTTTTATTCATCAAATAAAGAGACTGCAGTAATTCGCACATGATTGCTTCTCTATAGAGTGTAGACTTCTATCTTTGTAAAGTAGCACATAATTGTCCACAACGAAACGTTTATGTAACATCTCTGTATGTAATGGACCAGATGCCTGGGTAATCACACTGACATATGCGTCGTCTTGTCGTTGTGAGGACACTGTATGTGCAAAAAGTCCCTATTTCCGTTACATCATTAACAACATACGTCAACTTTATAAAGCAGCCCGCTTATCCCTTGAACCTTGACAGGTTTCAGCCTCTTCGAAAACGTAATTTATAAAAAAAGTAGGCATGATAGATGACGGGATTACGAAATAAATCCCTCGTCGCAAACATCGTTCAAATAGCTGAATATTTTTCAGAATATGTCCGGAATGGAGTGGTGATGTGCACTCCCAAAACTGTCCTTGTTGTTTATAGATTTTCTGTTAGCTTTAACAACTTTTTGTTCTTTCTGATTTGACATTTATGTATATGATTAAAAATTAAAACTCCTCACTTCTGAATATATAAGCAGACATGAGTAACTACCGCACACATTGATAATTCCCCGTGTTGGTAATCCGAAAGAAACAGCTTTGACTTTCACTCGAGGCTAGTGCAGTCAGCTAAAACATTTAATCGCTTCATACATTTGGCTGCTAAAGAACGAACTGGCAAGTTGAACGTATACTGGCAAATCTCATCAATATCAAACAACCTGCCAGGTGTTGCATCCAACAGTGATTTAAACCAACATGTTAGAAAGCAGATTTTAATTGTTGCTGGGAAGTTTCGTAAGGAAAAGTCAGACTTTTCTCTTTGCAGGGGCTTTTCTCTGAGATTCCACGAAATTCTACAAAATATGTGTCTGAAAAAAAAAAAAAAAGGTTATAAATATTAATTCATCTGTACATCCAAGACAACACAATACAACTTTGCTAATTCAGTGCAGCAAAATTAAGCATTCCTTGATGTTTTAGCAAACAAAACCAACATAAGTCGAGCAATAAAAACATACAACAATAATAGGTTCTTTCATAATAAGTCACCCCAGATGACGTCACGGGGACAGTCAAATATCTTATAAGTTGGTAAGACCGGGTTTCCCGGCTTTGTTGTGCTTTCAACTACCTCAAAACATCTAGAACTGGACCTACCCACGAGAGTGTGCAGCCTAGGTCCTACGACTGCATGCAGCCTATCTACCACCTCATGAAATATTGAACTGTATGTTTGGGGTGAATAAAAACGAAGTACCCAATAATAATAATAATAATAATAATAACAAAAATGTAAAACCTACATAAAAGATATTAACCAGACATTGTGACCACGACAATACCGTATGTGCAGGGAATGAACTTGAATTCACGAGGCCCTAGGCTAAACAATGCCCTGATGTCCCTACTTCTTAAATTACATCAGGTAAAGTCAGAAAACTAAAATATTTACGTATTTTGAATATATGGATCGTTGGGAATATGTTGTCCTTTAACTTTTAGTCAAATAAATAAAACAGAATGGGTTTTCAAAATTACATATTATATTATACACCTGTCTAATAAGCTTTTTTTAAAGAGAAAATTTCCAACTTGAATGCATTAACAAAAATGAATGTCTCCCCCCCCCCCCCACGTTACATCACAGCGGCGCCCATCTAATCCTTTAGTGAGTGTTCTAATATAACCAAATAGTCTACTGATGTCTGTCCCTGAACAGGCGTCAGTTGTCTTAGCTGTCAAATCAGCTAAAGTATTTTTATAAAAGGGGTTGGCTGTATATACAAGAGAGCTAAATAGTCGTAGACCACGAGGCAGACCAAGAAGACGATGGAGAGATAATGTCCAGACGGATCTGCAAACACTTGGTGTCACCAACTGGAAAGATAAGGCCAACCAGAGAGATGAATGCAGGCTAGTGATATCTGCAGCAAGGAACCTCAACGGCTCGGAACGCTGAAGAAGAAAAAGGTTTTGATTATTTTATGATTTCCTTTTCAGGTTGGTTTTAGATCCATACTTCTTTTGTTAACACACCCTTGCATCCATCGATGCATCCATCTAAACATTGATCCATCCATCAATTTATCCATCCATCCATCCATTTAACCATCAATTCAATCAACCATCCATCCATCCATCATTCAATCCATCCATCCATCCATCCATCAATCAGTCCATCCATCCATTCCGACTTTCACTCCAAATACCTACCTAAATGACTGCTCACCTACCGACCTGTTCGTCTGTCTGTCCGTCTGCAGTCGACTTATACTTTCCTGTTTATCTGTCTGCGTATCTATTAACCCACCTACCTACTTACCCCTCTGTCTGTGTGTCCGTCCGTCTGTAAGTCTGTCTACTTACCTTTCCATCTACCTATCTTTTTACATCTCTACTTACTTAGCTGTCTGTCTGTCTATCTGCATGTGGATAGTTTTCTCCTCGTGTGTTTTAGGGACAGGAAAATAAAAACGTTATCACGAAAATCTACTAACTCCATGCAGGCATTTTAGCATAAGAATATAGCAAGCAGTATTATTGTCAACATCTTATTGATCACACCGTAACCAGGATTTCTCTTCTGTCTGTTACACAAATTGCACGGTTTGGCTTCGTTGATCAATCGTACACCGCTGTTTATGGTTAGTTATGTAATTTTGTTACCGCTGGCAGCAGGAAATGACTGATTGTCGTCCGCTACCCAATTTAAAAAATGCTGACATGAATCTAAAACAAAGTCGGGCCTCACACGCGAAAGCTACTGCCACGGGGATGCGAGATTTTGACAAGCACGGACGTTTTTGAAAAGTGTTTACAGCTGACAGATCAAATGTGTTGGACCAGGTTCTCAGTTGCATGATTGGGTGTCCCTTCGTAAAACGGCTAGCTGCTTGTTGATACTGTCGCTTAGAGCTTGAACTTTGTAGCTCCAGTCTGGTAGTCTGGTAGTCTTCATAGCCAACGGGTCGCCCCATCTTTGCCAACGAAAAACACACAGAATGTTTATCACAGTATTAGAATTGCAGTTCATCATTGATGGTAGCAGAAGTCGCCAACAGATCAGCAGTTGCCCACGCGATCAATTTTAATCACATACGGGCACCACAACACTGCACGACAGGCATCGCGCCATTTTCTGAATCTACAATTCACACCAACACGTTGGTCACAGTCGAAAAAACATTCCAAATGCAATCCGCAGCTCACAGGGTCACGCCATGCATTCAACTCAGAAGCTGGGCCACGAAACTATATTCAGTCTACAAATGGAGCAAAAATGCATCGGCCACCGTCCGGCAGAAGCAAAAAATGTGCTTCTGTTTCGAACAGCGCCGCTGCCCAACGTCCATTTTAACCGGAAGTCTGTAGCTCCAGTGACGACTCCATGGAGTGGAGAACAGCGGTATACGCCCGATTTGATTTATGTCCAACCTGGTATAGGTCTGGTCTGGGCAGGAATGCGTGTGAATGGTATACGACCTTTGTTTAGAATATGGCTTGCGTGCTAGAACTTGCATGAGTCAAAACGAGTCACTCCACCGTGCGCTACTCTTATTATTCTATCTGTAATAAAAAGATGTCGGCGAAACGGATGGATGTTAAAAACATTGCAAAAAAATACCACCCCAGCAAACTTCAAACAAGCCGCAGTAATATCGTCTGGAATGACCACACACTCAAGCAGGCCGTAGTAGCGTTGTCTGGAATCTTTTTCTTCTTTTCCTTCGATCCTTCTGTCAGAAAACTTATATCAGGAGGCGGGTAGCCCTTATCAAAGCAATCGTGCAGTCCATATCCTCTCGTGTACCATACAGTTTTGTCTTCAGTGTGGTTGGAACAGGCCATATTGCATCTCTGTTGTCAGGATACAGTTTACAGTGCTGGAGCACATGCTCAGCATTTTCAGGTGCCACTCTGCAGGGACACGTATCCGTGTTGCCTACACCGAAAAATTTGAACATATATTGACGAAATCTGTTGTGCCCAGTCCTTAGTCTGAATATACACTGTCCCTCTCTAGAGAGGCGATGAAGCGAGTCTTGGAGAGAAAATCTGGTGTGGGTACCCAGCCACCTTTCTTGGATACTAGATTGTATTAATGTTTTCGTCTCTTGGTTAGTTAAGTTTTTGAGTCCCAGGGAACGCATCATACGTTTATAGGTTCTTACCTAGAAGCCCAATGAACGCACGATGTGTCGATTTTAGTCTCTCTTTACTACCCAACGGGCCTGTGATGCTAAAACCCCTGGGACTCAAAGAGTTAAGTCACTTTTTGGTTGTACCATGTCACTGCTGATTCTAGAAAATCTATCCGTAATTTCATTACCTTCCAAGCCACAGTGATCTGGAATCCGCTGCAGTACAGATTGTTCTACTGAAGAACCTAGGTGAATCAGCTGTTGCGTCAAGTCTACAAACTGAGTGACTTTTGGGTTAACAATTGCTTGTAGAATAGACATTACACCAGTCAAAAAGACCCTTCTGCTATATTTGCTGTGCTCTTGTCCATTCAGGAAAGAACATGCCGCCTGAAGTGCTTATGCTTCTGCTCTGTAATTGGAGTAATATTAACCAGTTGGTAAAGCCTAGATGAATTTTAAACCATTTCGACATTCTATGCATATTCCTCCTCCTCCGTCTCTTA